GATGGTTCATTTTCTTGGAATTGTGAAATACCACTAAGTGCCATGGCATGGTGGTTTATTAAGTAACACTGTCAGCAGGAAGAAATACACAAGACAGAAGAATATCTTGTGAAAGAGAGTGAAACACCCCTGATATTGAGGAGATAGAGGCTCAAAATGCCAGTCTCTGTGTCAGGTATACAATCTGAGCAGAGTAATTTGAGTCTGAACCTTCACCAAGACAGTGGCCATGTAGCCTAGAAATCCATAATTACAGTGCTAAATTCCCAGGCAATGAGGAGATACAGGAGATAATGGGTGTAACATTTTTGGCCATTCTTCTCTATTTAAGCAATTGCCTTCTATACTGATTAAATTACTCCTCTAGAGAGCTTGTAACTATCATCTAAAGAAAGGGAGGGTGGCTCTGGGAAGGTAGCTCAGTGGTTGAGTGCTTGCCTTGCATACATGAGGCCCTGGGTTTGATTCCTCACTTCAGCACCACATAAGCATTAAAAGCTGGAAGTGGCACTGTGGCTCAAGTGGTAGAGCGCTAGCCTCAAGCTGAAGAGCGGAGGGACAGCGCCCAGGCCCACAGTTCAGGCCCACGACTGACCCCCTCTCTTCCTCCCAAAAAAAGGGAGGGTGATGAAAGGAATTTGGAGTATATATTCAATTTTTGTTGACCTTAGTGATTTTAAGCTTCTTAATCCCTAAGTCTGGCTTTCAAAATATTTTTACTTTTTATGATTTTCACTTCACCTTATAGACCTATTTACCCTGCATTAATATTACACTATTCTTGCAGTAAACTGATAATCCTGCTGCTTGCCAAGAGAATGGTTTTATTCAGATGATAGGGCTAAATTTTACATTTTCTACTGAAAAATATCAGCATGGGATATATTCTAAAAACATTTATCTGTATATATAACAACTATCTATATATAATTTACTTAAAAATAAAAGCTTCATTCAAATGGTTCTACTAAGGCAGAAAGAACAGAAATCAAGTTTAGGATTGCTATTTCTAAAGGTATCAATGTAACTAGTAAGGAGTTTCTATTCAATATATTTATTTACATTACTCCAGTGCAACTTGAGGTCATATGACTATTAATTAATTAGGATAAACCTAATATAAAAATCATAATATAAACAATAATAACATCACTATTGGCTAGAAAGTTAGTCAAATACTGTTTCACTTACATGACAAAACATTTGAACAACCCAAGCTGACAGAGTCATGATATATTACTACAGAGAACAGGTACTGGTTGATCATGAAGGGACCATTTTAATATTGACGTTAACAGAAAAAACATGTTTTAATGACAAATACGGTAGCTAGGAATAGGAGTTTTAAAAATTAGAGAAAAAGAAGTGTTGCAATTCTACCTCTCCTACATATCCTGTGGGACCTGGAACAAGTAATGTAAGCTTTTTGGTTCCTCTTGTATGATGAATTTCTAATAATTACCTTAAGGCGAAATGAGTTAATACGTATAAATGAAATACCCAGAAAATAGTAGATAGTAACACCTACTATTATTAGTGTATTAAGAGGATTTAAAAGGAGATTTTTGTTTGCTGGTTAGAAACAAAATACAGAACACATTTACTTAATTTTTCTTACATTTTTATGCCAGTGTCAGTGCATTCTATCATGTCTAAATATTTAGTTTAATTTTCACACTTTGTTCATTAAAATACTAACATCAAGTAAACTGAAGGAAAAACACAGTATCCTTCAATTTTAAGGAAGTATATTTAAAAATGAAGATTCTTGAGTGAAAAACTTACCATTACAACACCACCAACGTATTCAAAAGCACAATGGGCTATACAGCCATACTGAATAGTATAGCCAACAAGTCGAAAGGTTTTTCCCAGAACACCACGAAGCATAGTTCTATGTTGAGTCTGCTACCATTGGCCTGATGGTAAATTTCAAAAAGTTTTATAATCAATAGTTTTTAAAAAAAAATACTTAAGAAATGTGTAAAATATTTCACTATCACTCAGAATGTTCTGTTTGTTACAGAAAAGCAAGAGCTTATTTTTTCTTTCTGTTAAAGGTATTTTAAGAGATAAAATATAGGCACTGAAAAACATTCCAAAATAACAGACTTCTGAACTATCTTTCCCCTTCCACAACTTACTTCCTGAAACTAAGGCAGGTAATTAAGGAAAGCTATTCTTATTTGGTCCTTGCTATTATCAGTTCTTATGTGGTATTAATATATGGAAAAGTCACTAAGAGAGGTAAATAAGGATTCAAGTTTTAAGCTGGTGGTTCTTTGGTTTTGGCAGGACTGTGCTGTTTGAACTTAGGGCTTCCTGTTCCCTAGGCACTATACCACTTGCGCCCCCTCCAGACCTTCTGCCTTCATTATTTTTCAAATAGGGTCTTTATATTTTCCCAGGTTGACCTCTAGGTCAACCATAATATTCCTGTTCACACTTCCTGTGTAGAAGGAATGACAGGTGTATACCACTGAACTTAGCTTTTTTATGTTGTTGAGAAGGGGTCTCTTGAACTTTTTGCCACAGCTGGCCTTGAATCTCAATTCTCAGCCTCTTGTAAATTGATTCATTTATTAATTGTGTGATAGTCAATGAATTATTTAACAAGCATTAAAATGGAAAAATCTATACAATGGCTCTGAGAATCAAATTCAACATGTCATAGTCAAAAATTAATAGTTACTATCAGTTGTCAGCTATTGTGATAATAATGACAACACAAATATATAAAATAGCAGAAGGTATCATTTTATTAGCATAAATTGATTATACAAGGGGGGTACAATATAATATTCACCTCCTCTATCACTCTTCCTCATCCCCATTCCCCTTCTTAAAACAATTCAAAATATTTGTTTTCTTTTCATACATACATATAAAGCACCATCTTTAAAGCTGTATTAATTTAAAATATTAATATAATTCATCTAAAATATTTCTGGTATGTTTCCTTTTAATTTACCCTTATAACTTCATTTAAAACATTTCTCAATTAATGGCCTAAGCTATTCTATGTTATTAAAACCACTAAAATAAAGCAATAATTATCAGTAATATTAAGGGGGTAGTTACTGTGTCTTTTCCCATCACAATTACTCATCTCCTTATCATAGTCAGGTGAATGACAGACCTGTCATATTAGAACTTGAGAATTGGGCCTATGATCTAGAAATCTATAAAGTAACTCAATTGGCAAGAAGAACTTGTATCATTCTGACTTCCATATTCTACCCTGTTCCCAAAACCTCAATAGCTTTTTAGCAGATCAATCCTAAGATTATTTAAGACTTTCTTCAAACATCTCTGATACATGCCTTCCCTCTAATTCCATTCCAACCTGATTTTCCCTGATGCTATTATGTGAATTGACTACTCAATCATATTGGTCTTTTCCTCAAGTAAACTTTGCTCACCAAATACTTATTAAGGCTAAGGACACTCCAATGTCTGGAATGTTCTTCCTGTCTGTGGTATATATACTATATATATATATATATATATATAGTCTCCAATTTTGATACATAGCTCTCAAAAATTTTGGAATTGAGCAAGTAACAGGATTGTTTTCCAATCAGAAATAACTTTATGCTAAAAAATGAGACGGCGAGACTTGTAAATAGTTTCAAGATGGGATTGCTAACCCAAAACTTTCAGCTTCATTTGTCACTTCCAGGAAAGATTAAGCTCTATAAACACTCGAGTAGTCAGGTGTAGTAACAAAATTTAAAATTCTACAAAACATTAAAAGAAATAAAAAAACCTTGTTTCCATGTCATTTCACTTAGCATTATCTTATATGGTCACATGTACATAGATAGCTATTGAGCTATTCTGTTCATTTACTAGGACTATCCTAGACATATACATACTAATTATTATAAATGAGAGAAACTATGGGATTTATGTTTCTTTGGGTCTGGCTTACTTCACTTAATATGATTTTTTTCCAAGTCTTCCCATTTCCTTACAAATGGGGTTGTGTCATTCTTTCTGGTGGAAGCATAGAATTCCGTTTTACATATAACATTTTCTTAATCCATTCATCTACTGAGGGGCATCTGGGTTGGCTCCATATCTTAGCTATGGTAAATATTGCTGCAATATACATGGTTGTGCTGGTAGCTTTAGTATGACCTTGTTTGTGGTCATTTGGGTAAATTCCCTGGAGTGGGATTGCTGGAACATAGATGAATCCTATGTTTAGTCTTGAGGAATCTCCATACTGCTTTCCAGATAGGCTGAACAAGTTTACACTCCTGCCAACAGGGTAGTAGTATTCCCTTTGGCCACTGTCCCTCCAGCATGTTAGATTTCTTGATAATGGCCATTCTAACCGGGGTGAGATGGAATCTCAATATGTTTTTTTGTTTTTTGGGTTTTTTTTTGTTGTTGTTGGTCATGGGGCCTGAGCTCTGGGCCTGGGCACTGTCCTTGAGCTCTTCAGCTCAAGGCTAGTGCTCTACCACTTGAGCCACAGCACCACTTCTGGATTTTTTCTGCTTATGTGATGCTGAGAAATCAAACCCAGAGCCTCATGCATGTAAGAGAAGCACTCTACCACTGAACCACCTTCCCAGCCCCTCAATGTGGTTTTGATTTGCATTTCTAAGTGATTTCTTTTTTATGTTTTTCCCCCTAAGGTTTATCCCCTGTTGTCACTGTATTTGATTTTGGTGCTCTGGGTATTGTATATACATTTATCTGAATTAGGGAAGGGAAGGGGAACAAGAAAATGGTGAGACAAGGGACAAAGGGTAAACCAAGGCAACAACCATACTCACAAGACAATATGTTTGTTGAAAGTGAACCATACAACTTGGGGGGGGAGTGGGGTAAAGAGAGAAAGTGGGATAAAAATGAGAGAGGGGGTAACAAGTTCAACAAGAAATGTACTCATTACCTTATTATGTAGCCCCTCTGTACATCACACCTTGACAATAAAAATTTTTTAAAAATTATACAAAACACAAACTGTAATCCTAACTCTCTAGAGGCTGAAATGAAAAGATGGTGAAATCAAGGCTATCTGGACAACACAGTGAAATTCTGTCTCAAAAAAAGGGGAGGAGAATCTTTTGGACAACAAAATTTCAAGATCATCCACTTATCCATATATCAGAAGAATTATAACACCCCAGCTTCATGGAGACAGAAGTTCTGTATTCAAGACCCTTACCCTATGTATCTTCATCTGTCTATGCAGCTGTATTTTTAATAAAATATCTTCTGACAAACTGGTAATGTCTATAAATTACTTTTGTGAGTTCAGTGAGTAATTCTTACAAATTATTAAACCTGGGGGAAGGTAATGGGAACCCTCATTTATATTCTCTCAATCAGAAGTACATGGAATCTTGTGTACAACTGGCATCCAAAGTGGTCCAGTCTCTTAAGACTGGGCCCATTATGGTACAGAAACCCAATCCCAGGTAGAATCAGAAGTATACTGAATTATAGGATAGCTAGTTAGTGTCCACCAGAGAAGTAAACCAATTTGTTTTGGAAAACACACATACATACATGACTCATAAATCTACTATTAGAAGTTTTGTGTGAATAAACTGTCTTTCACAAATACTATCAAGCAAGTAATATTAAAAAATTAAATAATTCCTCCTTCATTAGGTGTATACTACTGAAGCATTTTTAAAACTAGTGATTATTGTAATTAAATAATTTAATAAAAGTCCAATTTAAATATAAATTTAAAATTGAACCAATTATTGGTATCAGAGTTTATACAGGAGTCTCAATAGAGACTTTATCAATATTGACAAAATAATTGACATAGCTTACTGGCAGAAATTTAACCTATGACTAAAACTGTTCTCAACACAAAAAAGTTTCAGATTCAGATAGTGTCAGTGATAAAATTCCTTTAAACATTTAAAGATGAAACAACATCAATCATAAACTCACTGAAAATAAAATAAAGTGATATTTCCTATCCAGTTTTTACATGGCCACCATAACTTCGATACTAAAACTCACCAAGAAATAATATAGGATGGGGGGTGGGGGGAGGATCAGGTGGGGGGAGGGGGGAATATGGGAAGGGATGGGAAGGGGAAACAAAGAGGAGGCAACAATGCTTGATAAGAAATGTACTAGTTATCTTGCCCATGTAATTGTAACTCCTCTGTATGGCATTCTCACAAAAAAAAAAAAGAAATAATATAGGAAAGGTGAATTCAAAGCAATAAATCTCTTATCAACAGACCAAATATCTTAAAACAAAGAACAAATTGAATCCAATAACATATAAAAATATCATAAATATATAGACTCATTCCTAACATGTAAAGTTGGCATTATATTTAATAAAAAAAAAGAAAAACCATGTGATCAACTCAAGTGCTGTAGAAAAAGCATCGTAATATTTCATATCTATTCATGATAAATCTGGGAATAGAAGGAAGCTTTCTTAACCTGTTAAGGGCTGTGTGTGTGTGTGTGTGTGTGTGTGTGTGTGTGTGTGTGTGTATAAATAGGCAATTCAACACCAACAAAACTCTAGCGATCATATCTGACTTAATGTGAAATGACATCTTAGGTCCTAGGACAATACACTAAAAATAAGATACAAAAACTGGAAAGGATGAATTGATAATCATTAACAAGTAATAACTTTTCTACACAAGAAAATAATGAATGCATTAATTATCAATGTGTCTTGATGCACAAACATTAATTGACCAAAATAATGTAACTCGACTTTACATACTAGGAAAAGCTTTTTATAAAATAAAAAGTTTCCATATACTTTTTACATTTAAAATCACACCCAAATACCAAATACTTAAAATAAAAAATCTAAGGAACTATGTAGTACATATGAAAAAATAAAGGAGACTAAGACAAATGGAAAGATACTATTTTTCTGATTGTAGAGCTTACAGAATTCTCAAATCTCATTAAGTGGTGCATGACTTAATCATTATACAAACTTATGTGGACTACTGTCTTTTCATATTTCAGACATCAAGATTCATGATAAAATCACAGTAATCAAGACAACATTGTATTAGGGGTAATCTATACAAACAGTATAGTAAAGAATCTAGGCCGACATACTGATGGCTATCTGATTTTATAACAAAAGCTTTAGTAAAATTCAATGGGAAAGGATGACCTTTGCAGGAACTAGACATGTTTAAAAGAAAAAAGACAACACAAACTGGGGGGCTATGTGGCTTATGTAATAGAGCACCTCCTTAACAAATGAGATGTTGAGCCCAATTTCCAGTGTCACAAGGAAAAACAAAAAATAACCATGACCCATGCCCTCAATGTAAGGTCTGCTCCTGGATGGCCAGCAGACTCCACCCTCCTCGCACCAAAGTCTCCACCCAGTACCTGCGTTACCTAGGCAATTGGGACACCTGGAAGAGGTCACATCTGCATCAGCTGAGGTCACATCTGAATTTGATGTGGCCACACCTTTCTCCGCCCATACCCTACATAAGGCCTAGCCCAGGCTCAGAGGCCTCTCTCACTGCTCTATTCTAGCTCTCTCTGCTCTCTGGCTGCTCTTTTCTAGCTCTCTCTGCTCTTTTCTCTCTCTTTCCTCTCTCTCTTTCCCAGCTCTCTCTCTTTCCTAGGCCTTTCCCAGCCACGTGGAGAGCCAACCTTGCCTGGTCCCAGCAGGTCTACTGAATAAACCTACCCCTTACCTGAATACCACGTGAGTGCTGCAGTTCTTACTCGGCTACCTCTTTTTAAAAACCTAATACTCAACATATACAAAAATTAATGGGAGGCTGGGGTTGTAGCTCATTTGCTTAGCACATGCAAAGCACTGGCTTTCATCCCAGCAATGCCAAAAACAGAAGTTAATTTGAGATGGATTAAACATAAACACAAATGCTAATGTAATAAAGTTTATAGAAAAATAAAGACTAAGAACTAAAAAATAAGAGCTTAAGTCAATACACAAAAGGTAAAAAAGAAATACTATTTTCATTAATAATTTGGGAGTTAAGGTTCATATTTCTTAAAAGGGACACAAAAAGCATTAACCCCACAGACAAAATGGATTAAAAAACTTTAACTTTCTAACATATCTATAATGTACCATGTGATTTTTTTTGTTTGTTTCTTTGTATGTTCCTCCCCTATGGTATAACCCTGTATTTGATGTCAGTGCTCTGCATCTTGTATATACACTTCTCTAATTCAGGGAGGGGAAGGGAAAAAACAAAATGCTTAAATGAGGATACAGGTTGACCCATTATAACAATGAGTCTCACTGGGCAACGCTTTCATTCCTTTCTGGAGGCTTTAGGTAAGAATCTGTTTTCTTTCCGTTTCTGGCCCCTAGAAGCCTCAAGCATTCCCAGTTAATGGTCCCTTTTCCTTTAACCTCAAAGCCTTGCTTCTCTCCAACCATTACTCAATGGTCACAACTCTAACTCTCCTGCCAATTTTTTCTACTTTTAAGGACATTGATAATTATAAAGCACTAACCTATATGATCGAAGTCCTTAATTAAACATATCTGCAAAGTCCCTTTTACCTTTCCACAGGATAGGCATTAGGACATGCTTATCTTTGGAGGATCACACCAAGGTACAAACCAGAAATTATCAAAATGTGCCCCCAGAGATGTAGCAATGGCACCAACTGGCAATGAAAATATAAATTACTGGACCAAACCAAAAATTTATAGTATCATAAACTTTGGCAATATTGCTCAGCAACCTGCATTACAAGGTGGATCAACAATCTGTGTCCTCCATGATTCTAAAGCAGAGTAACACGTGAGAGTCAATGATATACATTCTCAAAGTGGCCAAGGCGCTGGCCTTGAGCAGCTTGCTTCTCTACTCATTTACTACTGCGTGCTGTGTAACAGTCTTATCTTTGTGTGTACTGGGAAAAATAGGGAAACTTGGGCATCAACATTCTTTTTTCTTGGGGGGGGGGAGTCCGGTCGTGGGGCTTGAACTCTGGGCCTGGGCGCTGTCCCTCAGCTCTTCAGCTCAAGGCTAGCACTCTACCACTTGAGCCACAGTGCCACTTCCAGCTTTTTTCTTTTTGCTTATGTGGTGCTGAGGAGTCAAACCCAGGGCCTCAGGCATGCAAGGCAAGCACTCTACCACTGAGCCACCTTCCTAGCCCTCAACATTCTTATATTACCAAAGAAACTGGATTCCTCACCTTTTAATCCCTATTACATTAATTTTTTTAAAGACAAATTTCAGGTAAATGGTTCATAACTATTTCCTAGACATGCAGTACAGAATATCGCACAGCCATCTAATACAATTAACTCACAAAAATGCCAGAAGTGAAGGTATAGCTCAAGCCCTTGAGTGAAAAAGCAGAGAGACCCAAAGGCCTTGAGTTCAAGGCCCAGTACCAGCACAAACAAAAAAAAGTAATCATCAGCATAAAGAAACAACTGCAGGGCTGGGAAGGTGGCTCAGTGGTAGAGCGCTTGCCTTGCATGCCTGAGGCCCTGGGTTCAATTCCTCAGCATCACATAAGCAAAAAAAAAGCGGGAAGTGGTGTTGTGGCTCAAGTGGTAGAGCGCTAGCCTTGAGCTGAAGAGCTGAGGGACAGCGCCCAGGCCCAGAGTTCAGGCCCCACGAACGGACCCCCCCCAAAAAAAAAGAAACAACTGCATTAAAGCAAAACCTATATTTTCAAAAGATAATAGAAAACTAGGGGGAAAAAAGGTTTGAAATTAAGATTGTATCACTTAATATAGCAAAAGTAGTATAGAAAAAAATTTTAAGATGCTCTTCTTAAAATACAATAAAATTCCAAGTAATGTTGACATACTGGAGTAAGGTTGCCATCTCAACAAGATAATCTTTCCACCATTGTAAGGTAGCCACATTTTTTTCATTGTGGGGCTTGTACTCTGGGCCTGGGCGCGCTGTCCCTCAGCTCTTCAGCTCAAGACTAGTGCGCTACCATTTGAACCACAGCACCACTTCTGGTTCTTCTGGTGACTAATTGGAGATGAGAGTCTCACAGACGTTCCTGCCCAGGCTTGAACCGTGATCCTCAGATCTCAGCCTCCTGAGTAGCTAGGATTACAGTGTGAGCCACTGGCACCAGCTAGAGAAGCCATATTTTGAGAGGTCAAAATGGGAGTGTTTATTAGAAAGCTGGCATCTGTAGATAGACTCCTATCACAAAGACCTGCAGCCCCACGAATACACTTAACAGTCTTCTAAAACTGAGCCATGAGAGCAGAAGAGGAAAGAAGGAGCAAA